TGCGTCAAGCATAACGGAAGCATATCCTTGCTCCAATTTATTTATCTGTGCATATTCACACACACACATATTTAAGTAGTCTGAGCAATTTTTTCAYATATTAAGTATGAAAAAAAAAGTTRCCATAGTTCAACAAATTTATTTATATTTTATTATTGTCGACATTTTATGAGCATTCACGCTCATGCTTCGCAGCCGGAAGCTGCTAGCTGCAAAAAAGCTACAGCAAAAAGTAAAAATAAAAACTAAAAACAATAAAAAAAAGTAACTTCTGCTGCAACGAAGCTAAAATAACCTTCACAAATGAAAATGTTTTCATACAATAACTTGATTTGGAGCGGCACAGCTTGTATGACAGCTATAAGCTATAGTGGTCCGATCAGAACGGATCTGTGTGGAAATTGTACCGTTGTTTTAGGCAATAATTMATGCYAAATTTCGTGAAAGTATCTAGTATCTATCTAATAAAAGAGTTTTCCATACAAGAAGTTGGTTCTGATAGTTCAGTTTGTATGACAGCTATAAGCTATAGTGGTTCGATCTGAACAATTTCTTAAGATATTGTATCATTGACTTAGATAATAATTCATGCGAAATTTCGTGAAGCTATCATGTCAAATAAGACAGTTCTTCATACAAAAACTTGATTTTAAACGGTCAATTTATATGGCAGCTATATGCTATAGTATACCGTTATAGACGATTTTAACAAATGAGCAGCTTCTTGGGTAGAAAAGAACTTGTGCAAAATTTCTGATCGATATCTCAAAAACTGAGTGACTGAGTATGCATATACGGAAGTAGCTGACGTTTTGTTCTGCAAATGACAAACTTCGTGACAAACTAAATATATGCTGTTCAGGGTATAAAAAGTGAAAATAAAAACCACAAAAAATATATATTGAACATGTCACTAACACGCGCGCCTGCATTTGGTTTTTAAGGTTAGTTGCAAGTTAGTTTCAACGTTGCACATGTCAACCGCGCAAYACATGTGACAGCCGCAGGAGAAAGAAAAATATAACAGAATATAACAAGATAGACAGCAAAAAAAATCGAATGACAATATTAAGTGTCTAACTGCCAAGGTAATGCAATTAAAGGATATACTGCAACAACAGCAATACAAATAAATGTACAAGCCAGTTGTCATGGCTGCCGCTGACACTGTCATCGATGGTGGAGTGTTAGCTGTGGCATAGGTGTTGACAGCTCTACACGTACAAGTGCTTATGTACTCGAACTGAAAGTAATTTCAATGTAATTACACTGTTGCATGCTACAACAGCAGCAAACACTATGTAACACATATGTACGTATATTTTATATAAACTTGTATACCGTATATAAGCTTCATAGTCGGCTGTCTGTTAGTGGTGATTAATTATTATTGAGTTTTGTTATATGTCGCGCATACAAGTATTTCAAAAGTATGCTATGTGTGTGATACACAAATTTTATATAAAAAGACGATATGTGTATTGGTAAAGCAATTTAGCAACCTTCTTACACAGGTTGAGCTCGAGGGAGTAAGAATTTAAGTAAACAAGAATATATAATAACAGAAAATTATTCTAAAATGTATGCTCTAGATCGAGAAACAACAGTTGGAAGAGCTTAGATATTTACTTTAATTGACAACATTTTAATAAACTTTATTGAACACTGTTGGTACTGAAGTTTTTCCTCAGCKTAAAATTCGTTTTTCCATGAGCTGAATAGTTGACTACGTGATTTGTTTGAAAGTTGATCATGAGYTACAGCTTTGCAAATAAATTGTATAAATTATAAATTTGAATACCGTTTGATTACACCAAAAACTCATTGGTGGAGAATTGCATGCTAATTTTCAGACCGAATGAAATGATCAGAAAATCAAGCAAAAATGTATAATATTATTTCAAAAGCTTAAGCATCGGTAGATTACAAGCAGAACAATCAATACGACCGTGTCCTTTTTGCTCTAGCTCTGTTAAATATGTGACAGAGCGCAAACAATCGATTACCCGTGAGCTCAATATTGGAATTTGCATTTTCTTTGAAAATTTACCATAAGCCTGAGTTTTCCAACTATTTCATATAAATTATAAATTTRAAAACCGTTTAGTTACACCAAAAACTCTTTGGTGGAGAATTACAAGCTCGTTTTGAGAACGAACGAAATCATAAAAAAACAAGCAAAAACTTCACATTTTTAATTTAATTAAATTGCTGAATTTTAGTTGAAAAATCTTATCTTTCTCAATATTTATGCGATAAATTCTTTATTTCAATTTCTTTAATTATCGATCGTGGAATGAGTATCGCAATCACACATATTCTTAAATGTATATACACATAAAAAAAATTTATATATAAAAACCACATATTATTTAACATATATTTTAAATTAACAACTTATTGTAATTAAAAAAAATTATGCAATTAAGTAATATTATATCGTAGGTAATAAGTATTGATGAACTTAAGCCAAAACCAGTTAAAGCGCAACACAAAGCAAAACGGCCGAACGAAAACGCAACGAAATGCACTTAACCTTAAAATTGAAATTACAAAAACAAGAAAGTAAAAATAAAAATATAAACTTATTTATGGGTTATACCAGATGAGTAATTAAATACTTAAATAACCATAAATAACAAATTAACCCATAAAAATGAAAATATGGCGTGAATGCAAAGCGTTAAGTTGAAGCGCAAATAAATGCAAATAAATATTATTCAAATAAGTACAAATTAGGTACTGATTACGGATTAAAAATTCCCGTTTAGAAACAGTGAKGGGATGTAAATTGATGCGCCGCAACCAGAATGGGAATATTTTGCTTGTATTAATGTGCTATGTACGAGTAAATGATGGAACCGGTTTCGCAACAATAACTGCATGATGGTGGGGGTATCTTGAAGGGCTTAACTAACTTATTTTAAGCTGTTTGKTGGGCGCTAATGAAGCGCAGTGTCGTCGGTGGCAGTTTCAAATTCAAATTTAACGAAAATAAGGCGATGCTGGTATTTCTTGGTTTGATTAAAAATAGTTCAATAAGTGCAATTGATAGCATTTTATTGAACGATAACTATTTATATGAGCTTAAAATAAAATGGAATTATCGATAACTGTTAACTATCTTGACAAATTATCGTTATTTTTAAATTGATGAAATTGTTGTCGATAATTTAATTTTTGTATCGACCTATTTTTTTAACATATTCTTGGTTATTGCGTAAAGTTACTTTGTCCATTATACATGTATATTTATTTATCGACAACTTTCAAACTGATTCAATAAGTTATCGAAATTTTTTGTATATATTTTGAGGATATACTAATTGCTTTTGTTGTTGTCAGGTTCTCCACCCATTAAACAAATAATCGATAACTTTTAACTAACTTAGTAATTTATCGATATTTKAATCGGCCAAATACTAGAATAGCTGATTACATTTGGTTAGCTAATCTGTTCATTAAACATAGAAAGTTAATAATCGATAATTTTTAAACCGATTTTGTTATCGATTTTTTTTGGCTTTAAGAATAAAATAATTGCTGATTTATTGAAGTCAGTTACTACGCCTATTAGATGTTTTTCAAGCATATTTTTTAATTATTCGATTCTCCTTAACAAAAGAGTCGATAATTCACCAATGTATTCTTTCGATAAATTATTGATTAATTTCAATATTGTTCTGATGCRTTCTTTCGATAAATTATTGATTAATTTCAATATTGTTCTGATTAAAACACTAAAGWMWAAAAAAAAATTATTTTCGAAAATTACAGATTACTTATTGATACAACCGCGTTAGCGKTGTCGACAACATTGAGAAGAATATTGGTTACTGATTTTTTCAGCAAAGTAACGATTTGATAAATGCTCGCTACGTGTAATCGACAGTTACAACAAASGAATTTTTGATTATTTTGATACATTTAAATAGAGAAATCGATTTTAGCTGTACATTTAACAAGTAATCTTTTATTTCGATAATTAATCGATATTTTTCCGATATACAGAACGATTAAACTTTCTGAGTTTTTAGAAAATTATCGATATAATTAGTTAAAAAATATTTTCCAAATGATCGATTTTTAATCCACTTTACTGATAATCGACAACTCAAAAATCGATTTTTTATCGACTCGATATTTATCACCGTCCGCTTATCGGGTATATTTTTCGATGATTAATCGATATTTYTCCGATATCCAGAACGATTGAACATTCTGAAAATTTTAAGAAAATTATCGATAAATCAAATTAAAAAATATTTTCAAAACTAGAGATTTTTTATCGAATTTTCAAATAATCGACTTCCGTAAAATCGATTTTTTATCGACTTTACTGTCTATCAACGTCTTTAAATCACTTTTAAGTATATTTTATTATACATTGTTGTAGGCAAATACTGAAGTGATTCTAATACTAATAATTATTGGAAAGATGGAACTGCCCTGACATATTAAGGGCAGTTATTTTTTTTATAGCAATTATTAATTTTAAARAAGCTTTAATTCTTCCCTACCAGCACGCCTTATTTTTATTAAATATGTATTTTACAAACCAAATTAGAAGAACTAAGTTTGCGAATTTTTTCTTTTTTTTTTTTTTAATTTGACAAAAAAAAACTTGAGGTTACGGAACTCAACATGAATCAAGATTTATCGAATACTTAACATTTTTTAAAACTTTTAATAGAAATTGTGACAAAATTCGGAGATGAAAATCTCCASATTTTTCATACTTTCTCGACGAATTTTCAAATATAGTTCCAAAATCCGGGAGAACACCCACAAKGCATACTTGCAGAAGATGCGGCGAATGGAACGTGAAATTTAGTTGCATATGTTACTTAATATCGAAAGTAATAGGTACTTGTTAAGAACTAAGGCACGATACGAACTACTACTTAAGAAGATCCGTGACGCAGTGATATAATGAAAATGGAGAATTGCTTGTTTGAAATTGGATTGATTGATTGGTTAACTGTGTGCACTCTACAAACCTCATTAACTCGTAGGCGGCGTTCGTCGAATGCGGACGYGCCAGAAGCGGCCCCTGCTGCAGTTCCTGCTGCTCCAACGTAGTGTACTGTGTATAGCCGTGCGCCTGACGCAACGGCGTCGAACTCTTCAGCAACGTGCGACGATAGGCGCGCTCGAACGGCGTACGCGACATAAACGACAACGCAGTGCTCGGATCATTCGACAACAACTTGCTCACACGATCCTGTGTATAGAGCTCGGTTAGGGAGCCGTGTGTGTGGTGTTGTGGTTGCTGCTGCTGATTATGGCTATTCGTGGACGGTGAGTCCACGACATCRTAGTTAAGTATGCGYGCAACGAACGATGGCGGTGAGGGTTTCTCCGCCGACTGTGTGACCAGCGGGAAATTCGGCTTGCGACCCGAAGTCGGCGTGAGAAACGGATCCGGTTCGATGCGTTCCGTCACCAAATCCGGTATGGTGCCCATCGAACGCATCTTCTGTATGGGATAGTGTGAGCCACGCTGCAGAAACAAGGGCGGTTGCTGGTTGTTTGGCTGCTGTGGCAGTGGGCTRTCATCGTTGCCAATAAACTTGGCATTACCCACTTTGTTCTTCACAAACAACTTGCCCGAATTCGTGGATGAGGTGGAATTTTTGCGCTGCTGCAAATTGAAGCGATGCTTCTCYTCCARCGCGCGTTCRCGTATGCGCAACAATTCCTCGCGGATCTGCTCTTCGCTATAATCATCGAAACGCAAATTGCTAAGCGAACGCATTTTGTGTATATGACCGCCATTTTCGGCCAGCAACTTCAGGCGACGCGGCGAATTGCGATCCAACTCCTGTGAKGCGCGATGAAACTCCATTTCGATGATGGAGAGATTCTCCATCGATTTGATTTTGGCCACGCGCGGCGTATGGAAATTCTCATCCAAACCCGAGTCGTCTGCGGTCTCCTCCGAGCCCGATTCACCGCTGCCGCTGCCACTGCCACTAACACCGCTGGCGCTGCCGCTTTCGTAAATCTGTGAGGCGCGCGATCCGCTGCGGCTGTTGCTCGCCACGCTGCGATACGTGGGCGAGGGTGTGCTAAGCACAAACTTTTCACCGTAAATCGATAGAGAGCTATTGGTTGAGGGTGGCATTTCGTTGAGTGGCGTGCGGAACTCCTCATCGCGCATGGTTGAGTTCGGCGTTTGAAAGAGCAACTCTTCGCATTCATACTCGCAGATAGTTTCCGTTGGCTGTTGTTGATGATTCAACGCTGGTATATTTAGCTTCATGGCGTTGGCGGTTTTCTGATTGAGTCTATTAAGTAGAGAAACGGATTTGCTGAATCTGCGGTACGTGTTTGTATGTGGATTTTGGTTTTTGGTGGTGGTGGTGGGTGGTAGAGAGTTAGAGAGAGAGAGAGACAGAGAAAATATGGTGCGGCGTAGTTCGTTGGATTCACAAATTTTTGTTGGTCGTTGGTGCAATGGCGGTAATATTTTCGCAAATTTACATTACATTACATAACGGTATAATACAGTACATTACAGTTATATAGGATTACATTGCGTACGTTCGTTGCAGTTGCGGTGTTTGTGTACCAACAACACATGTTTTATACCAAACAATATTATTGTTATTGTTGTTGTTTGTGTGTTGGTGGATGGTGCCCATGATACCAACAATTGTTTCGTTTTACAATTTTTTCAAATTTTAATTTACAAAAATTACGAAAATCAACATAAAATAGAATACAAAGAAACGAAAAAATATTGATTAGAGGAAAAATATTGAATTGCAAGAAATAATAAACTAAAATTACTAAGCTAAGTGCAGCTGTTAAAAGTTATGTGCCTAAAATTATGTAAAATAATGATAAATAGCTACAAATACAAATAATTATGCTAAAAGTATGCCATAAAATCTAAATAATTATAAATTTCGTAATTCACTCTTTTTTCATATAAATTGTATATAAAAAATTTGCTAAAAAGATTTACAAAAAATCTTAAAATTTTTTGATAAATTATTTAAAATAACAGTTCAAAAAATCCTAAAAATTTCGATAAATAAAATACGAAAAAAAACATAAATAAT